TCCAAAATGGATCGGACGGTGGAGGGGGGGGGGGGGTTCGTTGCTTGAAGTGGATCAAAAAAACACAGAGCCATCAAAGCAAATCTTATTACTCACGTCCGGCAAGATGAACGACCAGACCAACCACGCAAAAAACTGCGGAGCTAGATATGCGGCACGCACAACGCATTGCTTTCGATTGGAGAGCGGCGAGTATAAAGCAGTAAGGAATTGTTGGCCAAACTTTCGACAGATAGGTCTACTCGGGAGCGTAAGTGGGGTAGCAACCCATGGTGGAGCGTACATGAGAAGCTGGACGTTGGTGTACGCTCCATCCCGGCGTGTGAGTAGGATCTTAGGCTATGCAAGTCGTCCCTGAACTTATTGTGGTGAAAATGACCTCCCAGGAGGAAAGTAGCCTGTACCGCGGGACTTCGGAGATGATAAATTGGGTGGTCGAGGTACGTCTGGGTGTTAACTAAGCAGAGCGCCCGGCACAAGACTGGGGTACTTGTGTCAGGAGGTGTGAACTTGGATCTAGACTACGAGCCTATGTTGGAGGCGCTATTTAGCGTCGGTGAGCCGGCAAAAGAACTGAAAGGAACCACAACCCCCGCCGGACACTCGGATTGGGAAGGCCGAGTATTCCGTATACCTTCCTGAAAAAACACGAAAAACAAGTGGCCACGGTCCAGTTGCCGTAGAGATCATGAGGATGGTGAAGAAGCTTGGAGGATGGAAGCAGAAACTGTGGAAGGGAGACAAGTTGGAGCTGCTGCTGTTTGGGATTCCAAGGGACATGACGAGGATAGAGTTCAAGAACTGCGGTGACAGGGAGGGACTGCACTGCCTAGCAAGGGGACAGGTAGGCAGAGAGCACGAACACTTCCGGGTGAAATCGACCAAGGAACACAGCCAAGAGTGCTTGGGGGTTGATATCGAGAAGCTGTCGAACTACGTAAGGAAGTTTGGATGGAGGGTTTGCATCGCGAACATGATAGAAACAGAGAAGGTAAGGAGACAAGAGGCGAGGGCGACGGAGGCGAAGAAAGGACCGAGCGGGGAAGGCGA